CTTCCCCTCCCATCTTTGAGTTCAGTAACTTGCTACGATGTCCCATGAACCAAGTTTAGGGAAGTAGTGGGGTACAAATTGGGAGTGGGAATCAACTGAAGTAACAGAAACAACTCAGGGCTCAGTTCCTCCGTCAGGCTTTCTCCCTCTCTTCCCGGGGCCTTGCTTCACGGGGTCCTGTGGGGGCTTTGGGGCAGCTCTTAGCTCTGCCATCCTTCCTGCTTCTGATGTCCACTGTCGCTTGCTGTCTTCCGTGCTACAACCCCTCTCTCTGTGCATGTCTTCATTTAAGCCTGTTGGGATGGCATCACTTGTTTAATCCCTGATCAGAGTTCCATACACGATATTTTTACAATCCAACTCCCACAAAGGAATCAGGTACTTTATTTGCATTATTGTGAAGCTATCTGACTTGATGGCAGTGAGGGTTTGTTTGTTTGTTTTTTTTGTTTATCCAGTCCCCTTTGGTGGGCCCCAAACATCTCATTTGCATAGTCCCACCTAGTCATTTGGTGGGAGTTACCAAAAACAAAAAACACCCAAAAACTCGATAGCTAGGAGGGCCACTGCACTGCATTGTGTCTGAGTGATTTCGGGAAGTGGGGGCACGTTCAGCGGAGATGGTGACTTTTCAGCAGAGTTGCCAAGGTGAGTGACAGTTCACTAGGTGAACCAAAAGAGGATGGCATCCCAAACAGGAAGAACAGCTTATTCAAAGGCCAGATGTGTGGGAGGAGATCCATCCAGGCCCTTCTTTGCTGCCAGGAATGATGGACCCTGCACGACTGTAGGCTCCTGTGATTAACCTACAGGCCTCGCTCTCCATGTGCTTCACTCAGTCCTGGTGTCTCAGCTGAGGGCCTGGGAGACTTGCTGGGGAGTGCACTGTGTCAGGTGGTCTGGGAGCTTCCTGTTACATTTAAGAGCCGAGAGCTACCCCTGCCTGTGCTCCTTCACGTATCAATGAAGTGGGGAATGTGGGCTATTGAGGATGGGCCAGGCTCCTGTTCCTGTGAGTAGTGCTAAGTTCTGTTATCCTTCCTTAGGTAAACTGTGCCAGTGGACCGATGCCTGCCTGTCCCATCCCTGTGCAAATGGAAGTTCCTGCACCACTGTGGCCAACCAGTTCTCCTGCAAATGCCCCACAGGCTTCACAGGGCAGAGATGTGAGACTGATATCAATGAGTGTGACCTTCCTGGGCGCTGCCAGCATGGTGGCACCTGCCTCAACCTGCCAGGTTCCTATCAGTGCCAGTGCCCACAGGGCTTCACAGGGCGGCACTGTGAAAGCCCCTATGTGCCCTGTGCGCCCTCCCCCTGTGGCAACGGAGGCACCTGCCGGCAAACTGGTGACTTCACTTTTGAGTGCAACTGCCTTCCTGGTAAGGAGCCCTGGGAGCGCTTGGGGCTGGGGGACTTACCACCACCCAGGAGGAGGGTTGAGGGTGTGGTCAGATTGCTCCACTAGGAAGTGTCCTTCCCAGCAGGGAAAAGGGGAAGTGAGAACTTTGTGTGGGGTGGGTTGCTGGTGAGGCGGAGTTTTATGGACCCACTGGGGTCTATAAATTGAGCAGGGGTTTATTTAACATCACAATTTATGATGATGGGTGACTGAGAAATTACTTATTGTCCTTTTTGGAGAAACGGTGAGAACTAAAAGAAACAGAACTCTGGGAAAAGAGCAGACAAGGCTGTGGAGTGGCGAAGAACACCACGAGAGTGAGGCATGCAGGTGTGAGGTAGAAAGAAAGCATTGTTCACAGAGTGGAGGAAAATGATCAGTGATCAACTTTCTTACCACCTTTGATGAAGTTATAGATTATTTTCCTCTTCACCTATCCTTTCATGAGAGTCCCTGGTGGGTTAGGGGGTAGGCTACAAACCACAAGCTTGGCAGTTCAAACCCACCTGTCACTTCAAGGGCGAAAGGTGAAGCTAACTACACCCAGAAAGGACTGATATTCTCAGAAACCCTGTATAGGGGCACAGAATCAGAATGGACTCGGTGCCAATGAGTTTACCTTGTGATGATTATTCCTGGACTACAGGCCTTCAGAGCTGCCTCCGATTGTACCTTCAATTACTTTGGAGTAACCCTGCCTCATCTTGAGACTGGAGACGTTTGAAACCGGAACAGTGGGCTCTGTGAAACAATAAGCACTTTTTGATGACCTCTGATAGATTCTGTGAGGAGAAGCAAGCATATTGCTATCAGGGTTCATACATACATGGGTTTTTACTAAAGTCAGTGGATAGCTGCAAATACGTTTTCTCAGTTTTCTCCGACTCCCACAAAGAGTTACAGTCTCAGAAACTCACAGGGGCAGTTCTGCCCTGTCCTGCAGTGTCACTAAGAATTGGCGTGGACTTGATGATGGCAGTGAGTTTTGTTTTGTTTTGTTGTTTTTTTTGTTCCACTGGTTTACCTTCACACACAGAAAGGAAAAGATGGGCAAGGGGAGAACAATTTTGAGTTCATGACTAACATAAAATATTTAACACAACAAGGTTGGCAGTAAGTCTACAGGAATTTTATCCCACATAAACCCACAGTTTTTGGATGTAGTAAGTGTTTTAGAGAAGAACTCCTCAAAGATGAGCCAAGAGAGGAAAGGCAATCAAACTGGATGAGTAAAAGAACACTTAATGAGTAACAGAGCATTGGGTACGTGATGTCCAGAAACCGGTGGAAGGAGACTGCACAGTGACCACTGATGCGGTATGTACCAAAGATGCGACCCCACATGGTTTGGCATTTCCAATTTTAAGCAAACATTTTGGCCTCATCAAGCTGTCGGCTTTATGGGCGCCAAAAGCATCCTGCGAAGATCAGCTAGCTCCTATCTCTGATCTTGCCCCCAGACTTCGAGTGAGACTGAAGCAAATGAAAACTGTCTTATGGAACAATTCATAACCAAGGACGAGTCTTGGATTTACCCATACTGTCCAGAGAGCAAAGTCCAATCAGAACAGGAGTTTCCAAGGGATGTGGTAAACTAGTTCAATTCAAGACAGAGAGGTCAGCTCCGATGGTTATGGCAACAGTGTTTTGTTTTTTGGAGGGGAGGGAGTACAGACTCCAAAGGAGTAACCTTGGAGGATTTTCTCAGAGAACACAGGGCAATCGTGATTCTTGTTATAAGGAAATGTTAAGAACGTTGAAATTTGCACCGGTGAGAAAGAGGCTGGGAGTCCAGGGAACTTTTCTCCATCACAGCGATGCACGTGGCTCAGTATTTGTGGGTAGCAAGGACTGCCCCTGGAGGATTTTTGTTCCCCAAACTCAAAGAGCATTGAGAAGGCATGTGATTCCTGTTGTCTGACTTGGTGTGAGTACAGGGTCCTGTGAGTCAGAACCCCCCCATCCGCCCCCGCGCCCCCCACCCTCGGGTCCCCACGGCAGTGAGGTTTGAAGAGTAGAGAACTCTTCAGGGAAGGCTTATTGAAATGGAAACACTGTCTTCTGGAGTCAGTAGACCTAGGAGGCGGTTACGTCAAGAAACAATAGCTTCACATTTTGCTGGTTTTTGTCTTTCTTTCCTTAAATAAAGGTTTCTCCGATTTTGTAGTAATACATTTTGACGTACACTCATATTTGAAAGACTGCATGATGCAGGGATTTCTGTGGCTCTCTTTCTCTTGGCCGGGGTAAGTCCCCTGCAGTACACACACAACCCCAAGGCAGAAGGAAACAGGGGAGCAGCGCGTGGAAATCTGGTGCCCCCTGTTCCAGTTAGAGATGGAGAAAGGCACAAGCCTTGCCAATTCATTTAACTCCTTATAAAATATGATGAGGAGGCTGAAAACTGGGAATTTTGATTGGGAACAGAGCATAAGCAGCTGGATCAGATGAATCACTAAGCAACAAAGATCCTGTTTTTACACAAATATCTGTAGTACAAAAACAAAAGAGGGAAAACTGTAGGGGAGAATAAAGCACTACGTCAGCAGAATCGCCTCCAGAAGAAGCTGTTCCAGCCACGCGTTTTCAGAGTGGGAATGGTCGATGCTGGCATTAGGGATGTGGTTCACACATAGCGGGATTGTGCGCTTTATCTTTGAGGCATTAAAGGCCACAGGTTGGTCCTGGGGTTAAGATCAGATAGTAATGCTTCCTGTCCCCTTAGTGAAAATGTAATGACTGCTGTCTGTGTTCTTGGCGGGTGGCTGGACGCGTGGCAGACAGCACTGCAAGATACTGCCCTCTAAGAGAAATGAAAGTGTATTCGTATTTAACTCCAAGCCACAAGAACAAGCCAAGAAAATTTTTTTTTTCAGTTTCTCTTTCGGTTTCTCTTTCAATAAAGAACAGATAACGTGCTGTTCTAGATAATAAAATGTGTTCGTTACTGTCATCCACATTATCTTGTGGAACGCGTAATTAAAAGCTGTTTTTCTTCACTCCTTTCTCTGCATGTTAAGGGTTAAAGACAGAATCGGAATGTAAACAATTTCATCTTGCAAACATTCTAATATTGCACATATTCTAATAGTCTAAGTAGCTAGTAGTTGAGCCTACTGTGATTTATGATCATTAGTGGCAAACTGTGTTTTTGGTTTTCAGAAAATTACTTTTAATAGTTGTCTAAAACATGGGGTTGTTTTGGCAGCAAAATCCTGACAGGAAGTTGGAGAAGTCAATAAAGGAAGTTTTTAGCAGGGGGAAAGTGATTATTCACTACCATTGTCTCTGCATTGTTATGCACGAGCCACGATAAGAACCTTAGGGAATTCTGAGAGCGGGTCCAGGAAAGTATCTGTCAAAACAGAATCGTGCCTCTTCCTTGAGAAAGGAAATAACCAGGGATTCCACAGTCCCTGGGCTGCCAGGCCAAAGGGACAGAGTGAGGAGATCTTGGCTGCCTCTGACATTCTGCTTGTGTTTAAATCAAAATGTTTATTTACCTCCCAGAAGAACTCTGTGTGTGTGTGTGTGTGTGTGTGTGTGTGTG